TTGATTTGTTAAGTTTTTAAATAACATAACCTAATCTTATTTAGGTGATTTTTTGCAATAAAACTTAAATTTTGTAAATTAGCTATAAACTTAATATAATAAATAGAATTCGAATAAAATTGTTTTTCAAAAGTAGAAAAACACTTTTTACAATAAAATTAAACAAAACATGTTAAAGTGAAGTTTTTTTATAAATTTTTATTTTGTCATAAAATTAATATTCTTATCAAAAAATTGTTGTTTTTGTTTGTCATCCAATTATGGAAAGAATAAGTATTATAGATCGGAATACTCTAATTTGTCCACTGAAGATGCACAGAGCGTGCAGGAAGGTATTATCCATAAAGCCTAATTTACAGATTGCCTTCCTTCCTTCCTTTCTCCCGTAAAAGATGAACGCCCTCGGTGGTGTAGTAGTTAGCACTGCGGACTACAAGCCGAGAGGTTGTGGGTTCGAATCGTGTTTGTCATTGTGTACTTCTGTAATTGGGCCTGGTGCCTGTTGAAGGCACATTAAAAATAATAATAATAATAATACGAAAATCGTAGTGCCATTTATAGATTTCCGTACGGATCTATTTATTAGGCTTAATTCAACGCAAATTTAAACATAGAAAAACACGAAATTTAAACCATAAGGATATGACACAGAACATAATTATATCAGAGATAGGTTATGTTGGCTCTTATTTACGTATTCGCCGTCAGATTGCGCGTTTCAATCGAGTGTGTCGTTCTTTGTAATGCTTACTAAGATCACTACATCTCATATCACATTAACTGAAGTCAGCTGAGATTTCAGGCGAAAAGAACGCACCTGTTAGCGCTGTCTCTCTCGCTCCTTAGGACGTCACGTTCGTCAAAGATATCCACTTGTTCCAATGTAATTTTGAGGAGCGCGTTCGCGTTTAATTAAATTTACAATTATGACGGCCGATTGTGAAAATTGGTTTGAGGTAGTATATCTACGGATTTATATTTTGTCATCGTGCAAATGTATTTTTTAAACTATACAGGGTGTCCCATAATTAGCGTGCAATACTTCAACAACAGATTCTACGTACAAAAATAAGAAAAAAAGTTTATATAAACATAGGTCGAGAAATGCTTTTTAAGGGAACTACAGCCCCTGAAGATGGTTTTTACTTAATATCTCCAAAACCGTTTAGGATAGAAAAGTGAAATTTTGGGAATAAAATGTAAAAATAAATTTTTTAAAATTTTCATGAGGAGTGGGTCAGATAGATAGGGAGTAGGGGTAAAACCACCCTAACTTTTTTGTACATATCTTGTGCTACGATTTGATGTCAGATTATAAAATTTCGGAGTTTTACACACAAAAAAGGTCCTCTTGTTAAACTTTGATATCATGCAACATAAATAAAAGAAAAACAAGTTAATTTTAAACTTTTAATTTAACAAACAAAATTAATTTATGTGGAATTGTTTTAATAAGCAACTGTTCAAAATGGGAACCATTTTGCTCAACGCATAGTCGGGCCCGACGACAGAGCTTGGGAAGCTCTCAAAATTTGAAATCGGTCCGTTTTTATTTCATTGGCATTTACTGTTATTCTTTGCAGCAGCTCTTCGCGCGTGTTAACTTCAGTGGCGTACACCAAAGAATTTAGATGCCCCCAAAAATAAAAGTCTAGTAGGTTTAAGTCGGGAGATCGGGCTGGCCAAGCTATGGGCCCGTTACGACCGATCAGGGAAGTTGTCATTTAACCATTCTCTGAGATTTCGCGCATAATGAGCTGGCGCCCCATCATGCTGATACCACATTATGTTGTTAAATTCAAGGGAAGATCTTCCAACAGTTCACCGAGATTGTTTTGAAGGAAGTTTAAATAACCATTCGCATTAAGGCGATTGGGGAGTCCTATTGGACCAATTAGTTAATCTCCTATTACTCCTGCCCATAAATTCACCGAGAATCTACGTTGGAAGCTTGTACGTCGTACTACTCGAGGATTTTCGGTAGCCCAAAAATGACTGTTATGCATATTAATTGCTCCATCCTTGGTAAACGTAGCTTCATCACTCCATAGGATGTTTGGAAGAAAATTTGCATGATTCAAAACCCACTGGCAGAATTTTACTTTTGGAAAAAAGTCACGTGTTTGTAAATCCTGCACCCGTCGGTAATGATATGGGTGAATTCCCTGCATCCGAAGCGTTCTTCCTATCTAAAATTCATTTTCCATTATTTTTTTTCACAAATACTTTCTTAAATTTGTCATTACTGTTGACCGCTGTATCTGTGTTAATCTAGATATCGTTCTTATGCTTGTTTTGGGGTAATCTTGAAAATGGTTCAAGGCATTTTCAATTGCATGATTCCTATGGGGTCGCCCCTGCCCTTGAGCACGTCTAAAGTTGCCATTTTCCGTCAAATTTTGATGTAACCGGATGAACATTTCTATGATTTGACGTGTAGGAGCTCTTTCGTGTGGAAATCGTCGTCGGTATTCATGGTCAGCTGCCAGAGCACTACCGTTACAGAATCCATACACGAAGTGCATGTTTGCCAGCTTTCGGTTTGTGAAATGTTCCATTTTTTAAAAACAATACTCAATAAATCTTCTACTTAATTAGTTTTAAACACAATTTTTAAACACTGTCACTTATTACATACAACTGTCACCTGTCTTAAACAATTTTTCCTAAAGATTCCAGCCGTGTTCCATGGCCAACGCTAAATCTTTTACTCTAGTTGTGATTTCATTATGAATTTTTATGCTATGTAAGGTCATTTTTAAATCGATTTTATGCGAAAACGGTGCATGCTATCAAAGTTCAACAAGAGGACATTTTTTGTGTGTAAAACTCCGAAATTTCATAATCTGATTCAAATCGTAGTACAAGATGCGTACAAAAAAGTTATACTCCCTATCTATCTGACCCACCCCTCATGGAAATTTTAAAAATTTTATTATTACATCTTATTGGTCATAAAAAGATTGATCCATTCCCAAAATTTTACTTTTTTATCTTGAACGGTTTTGAGGATATTAAATAAAAACCATTTTCAGGGGCTCCTCTTTCGGGGACTCCTCTTTAGGAAGCATTTCTCGACATATGTTTATAGGAACTTTTTTTCTTATTTTTGTACGTAAAATCTGCTGTTAAAGTATTGCACGCTAATTATGGGACACCCTGTATATGCAGCGCAAATAAAATAATTATTGTTTTTTGTTATGGTTATTATTTTAAAAATAATAGAAGTAAAAGTTATAAAATTTATTTAAATTTGAGGTTGTAGAACTGTTTTTTCAAATAAATATTTTTATTTAGGCTTTTGTTTTCGAATTAACGAACTTACATAAACCTATTTATCTCCGTTATTTATAGACGGATTTTAAAAGAATTAAGTTTCTTGCAAATATTAATTTAATTTCTACAATTTTTGTGTTAAACATTTAAAAAATATATCAACGAACGAAAATAAAAACGTTTATGTTAAATCATAATAAGGTCGATATGCAATAGCAATGCAATAGTACAGACGTTGTTCAAAATGACAACTGTCAAAATGACAGCTGCCAAAATGACAGGTGCCAAAATGACATCTGTTAAAATGACAAATGCCTGAATGACAGCTGTCAAAGAACAGGTGCCAAAATAACGGCTGTCAAAATGACAGCTGCCTAAATGTCCTGTCAAAATGACGGGTGTCGAAATGACGACGGTGCTGAAATAACAGGTGCCTAAATAACAGCTGTCAAGTTTTTTTATTATAAACTTTATAATTTATATTTGTATCTACGTATTAATAATTTACTATTGTTTATGTACAATTTAATTTTTATTTTTTGTATATCTGTATTTTCATGACCTGTGCAAAAATTGTATAATTTCAAGCATCAATAAATCTATTCTATTCTATTTTGAACAAAATAAGAGGCCTATTCACACAACTACAACGAATTAGGAACATATTTTCAGTCTGGCAAATAATGTGTTGCCGAGAAGTGTGATTTGTAGGTTATAATATGTTAATTAAAATAAGTAAACGTTATAAACAACGTTCATAGTCTCAAAATATTACTTTAATAATTAATATAACCATTAATACTTGCAGTAAACTTCTGCAAAAGAAAATTTAAAATGCTGTTTTCTCGAAAATGGAAGTTAAAAAAATACTTATCAATTTTTTTAATAGTCATATCAATATACTAAGCTTAAATTAAACGCTGTGGCTCCCGTCCCGAGGCGGGACTTAAGTTCAGTCCCGATTGACGTCATAATTTTAAGATTTGTTATGTTATAATAAAATAATAATAATAATAAATTGTACCTGTATACATGTTAAGGGCACGTTAGTTACGTCATAAAACCAAACCAACCCAAACTCAACAACACAACCCAACCGACCCCGCCCCCTTGGCCCCCCCCGCCCCATTGAGCAAAAAACCCAAATAAAATGGGCAAATTTATGTTACGATAAAAATAAAACACTTTTTAACAAAGAAACAACAAATTTATAAAATAAAAAAAATAAAAAAAGTTTGACAACTTCTAGTAGAATCGAACCTGGAACCTCTCGCATGCCAAGCGACCGCCCTACCATCTAAGCCATCCAGCTTGACACCAATTATAAAAGCTCGGGGAATAAAAACGGATTTACAGTGTGTGACGTCTGTCGGGATCGAAGTTAAGTCCCGCCTCGGGACGGGAGCCACATCGTAAATTAAAGCTTTAAAGAAGCATGGGGCGCCATCTAGTAGTAAAATAAAAAGTTTGGCCAAATTTGTTTTCTGTGCCTCAAACAAAACCCAAATATCTAAGTTTGCAGCGATGTGTAGTTTTATTGAGAAATTATTGTAAAAAATCAACAATATTTAAAGTTTGACACCACATAAAAAAATAAAATTCAAAACTTTAGCATCCTTTATCTCGGAAACGAAGCAAATTTTGTTGTTTTGTAATTCATATATTTTCTGATAGATCAGTGATTTGATCCGTTTCCAGAAACTACCCAAACTTGGTATACTTACTGATCCACATGAATTTTCATCCCCATGAAATAAATTACAAACAATCCTTACAATTTCAGCTTCCATTTTGCAAAGTCCTGGAAATAAATCTGGATGTAGAGGATTTGTGTATGAAGTTTTACCATAAACTTCGGAAACTATAGAAATTAATTTTTCATCGTAACTATAAACTGCTCCTGAAGCACAACCGGCCTTCCAATCATAATCACCTAATTAAAGCATAACAATAAAAAATACCCTATATAAATGTAAACATGTTAAGTCTTACTAAGGTTAAGGTTTTCATTTAAAATCTTCATTATTTTATCTTTTTGAAAACCATTGCCAGGCAAATTATTGATGTACAATAAATCTTTAGTTCTTTTTTCAACATCCCTTTCAAATGATTCATTTATTGACTTTAATTCATTATCAATTTTCTTTCTTATTGCTGGTATCCTTCTTAATAATCTAAATGCAACCCTTTTACTTCGATCTACAATACCTGAAATTATTTATAAATTAAATTATATATTTTTTTAAAATTAAATTGCAATTATTAACCACTTGGTATAAATTAATTTTGTCCCTTTCAAAATAATGTTTCTAAACGGTGTATTATAGAAGTATCGAACCATATTCCGCTTTAGCCTTTTCAATAAAGACAATACCAATAAACATTTGTTTATGTAATATTTTGTGTAATAATATTACAAATTACCTATAGGTAATTATATATGTAATAAAGTATTTTTTAATAGTATTACACAACTTATTCCACCATATAAAATTTTTAAATATGTTAACGAAACTTTTTTAAATATAAAAATATAATAAATATAAAGTTTGCAAAATATACATACAGTGAGATGCACGAAAAAGTCTCACCACTGTAGAATTCTTGATTGTAAAAAGCGCATTAAATGGTTTTAGGTCCACTATGGCCTTATTGGCAATACAACGTTTTTAAGATGCTTCTTATTTTTTTAATTATTTTTCGAATTCTACTTCTTTTTCTGAAATTACGCATTTTGCTTTGACCGTTAAAAAACAGTAAAATGTGATAGAAATGACTTTGTTAAAGCGGCATCAAATCGCCTATAAAATTCTACTAAGTGAGCTATGGAACGCGATATTTTAATAAATAATGTAAAATGTCCATATTAACTAAGTTAGCCATGGAATAAAGTGATATTTATCAGCAAGCAACGCTTTCGTCGAAAAGCGTTAAAGCAATTGACTCTGCTTTCAAATACCAAAGATGGCCGCAAAACTTTTTTGAATGTTTTTATAAGAAAATAAATCTGAAAAATTAAAGTCTTGCAGTGGTGCTTTCGAGGCTATAGGGCAACAAAACCACCCTTTAATGTAAAGGCTGGTAAGAAAAATACAAATATCCTTCAGACATTCTTTTTCATGCGACGTTAGTTTAAACTGGCTCCTGAAGAAGAATATTTTAAAACAATAAATAACGTTTGCCATCCATCTAGCGGGACGGAAGGCTCCTGGAATACGAAAAGATACTGGACCACTTAGAAATAATATTATAATAATAAGTTCTAATAACTCCTTGTAGTCTTTTTAGGATGATGTATTTCTAGCTGGTTGAGACAAAATTGTAAAATCACAGTAATTTCTAATCCTAACGTTTACATAGTCATCTCGAAGTCCAGACTTATAACGTATTGGCTCCAAGCCTGTTAAATTCGCCTTTCAAAGGCACATTTTAAAATTACTTCGTAGATGTGATGCCGACAAGGTATAACAAATTTTTTTCCAATTTTTGTACAAGAAAAACGCAAGCGCCATTTATTCGGCCAGTGTCTGATGCCGTAGTATTACAACAAAAAGCTTCAACGCTTTTACTTAGTTGTAGGGATGCAACTTTTCATGAAAAGTTGAAATTTTTGAAAAGTTGGGTTTTATTTTTCGGAAAAGTTCGGAAAGGTTGGAAAAGATGGAAAAGTTGAGTTTTTTGTAATGTAAACGTATAAAACATAAATAATGCTTGTCAATGTATTAAAATAATTTATTTCTTATGTATTTATACATACGTAACAAAATAACAAAAAAAAATATCAAACAAAATAAAATGAACAGACAACATAATAACAACAAAAATAAACTAGGTTTGAATTAAAAAAATCATATTTTTTAAGTAAAAAGGAATAGAAATTTATACACACCATAAAAAAACACATACAAAACAAAAAATAATTACAAAAAAATATAAAGCAAAAATTATTAAATTTATGTTTTGTTAAAAATTATGGAAATTTACAAGTAAAAATTTAAAAAGAAAAAGAAAAGAAAACTTTCTTCTTTTTAAATAATATTTTTTTCATACTGTGTATAAATTTAAAATAAGTTATAATAAAAGAATCTTTATATAATATAAAATGCTGTTAGCAGACACCATTTTTGATAAAGTTTGACAAAATATTATTCCAAAAAACAATGCTTTTAGCATGTTTAGCACTTCAAATCTAGCGATTTATATCGAATTTTGACCAAATTATTACCAAAAAAAATTTATGGTAGTGGAAACACTGGGTAGAAGTCAACTCATTGTTCATTGGCTCCCACCTAATAACTTTTCCAACTTTTCCAACTTTTCATAGGGGGTGCCCTTGTGGAAATTTTTCTCTGAGAAAGTCTTACTTTCTCTGAAAAAGTCTAAATAATACTTATTAAGTCGGAAAAAGTCAGAATACGACTTATTAAGTCGGAAAAAGTCTGAATAAGTCTTATTAAGTCAGACTAATAGCAATATTTGGGAGTCTTCTGGAAGAGTTAATAAGACTTTTTAAGACTTAATAAGACTTTTAGTAGAGAAATGGTAGGTACCTATGGCGATAAAAATAAATATCCGAAATAATTCATAGAGGTTGAATTTGGTTATCGTAAAATAAAACACATTTTTATTAACATTTTTGCTGTTGTTATAAGCCAAGTTTATTGCATAATTACCTATATAATAACATAGGTAATATGTAATAATTATAACAATTATAATTTTATACATACGATGCGCTTGAGATGCTTTCATTGTTTTCACCATAGAAAAAGGAGTCATGTCTATAGACATGATATTTTCGATAGACTCATAAGACAAATATGGTTGATCTTCGTGTTTACGTACAGTGTTGCCATAAAAGTTCCTGACCATAAATTACAAAATACTAAAATAATAATAAAAATGTAACAGGATAGAATAAAATAATTGTGCATATTTAGTAAATATACAATATTATTTACTGAAAATTTCTGTTATTATTTTGATAGAAATTTGCAAATCACCCGCAAATATTACGAAAATACCCGATTTTCCAGTAAAATACTTGCAAACGGCAACACTGTGTCCCACTGACAGGTCAGCTGTGCTCTAATTGGTCAGCTAGCTGAGCTGGTCTCTCGATATTAGGTCTATAGATTTGTTTGTAAAAATGTTTAGATAGGTAAATATTTGCGTGTATACACGCAAAAGAAACTATTAAAATAAAACGTACAGTGGCAACTCCTTTTTCTATGGTGGAAACAATGAAAGCATGCATGTCAAGCGCATCGTATGTATAAAATTATAATTGTTATAATTATTACATCTTACCTATGTTATTATATAAGGTAATTATAGTTATTATATAAGGTAATTATGCAATAATCTTGGCTTATAACAACAGCAAAAATGTTAATAAATACTTTTCTATGTGTTTTATTTTACGATAACCAAATACAACCTCTATGAATTATTTCGGATATTTATTTTTATCTCCGTAGGTACCTACCATTTCTCTACTAAAAGTCTTATTAAGTCTTAAAAAGTCTTATTAACTCTTCCAGAAGACTCCCAAATCTTGCTATTAGTCTGACTTAATAAGACTTATTCAGACTTTTTTCCGACTTAATAAGTCTTATTCTGACTTTTTCGGACTTAATAAGTCTTATTCAGACTTTTTCAGAGAAAGTAAGACTTTCTCAGAAAAAAATTTCCACAAGGGTGCCGAACTTTTCCAACTAACTTTTCCAACAACTTTTCCAACTTTTCGACCGAACTTTTCCTTGTTTGCAACACTACTTAGTTGATATTCTTCAAGAAGTTGATGTCATCTCTTCGCCTTTTCCGGATTCAAGTTTTGGAATACCAAGGAGATGCTCTGTACCATTACAGGTAACAATAACAGGCAAAAGGTCCACTTTTTTTTACCAATTTTTAAGTATAAATTTGTTTTTAATTTACGCTTGCAAGCCATTTTTAAATAATCAACCAAAAAAACTGTGGTGATTTATAACTAGAACAGTCAACTAAAAGAAGCGCCAACTAACGATATTTACCAATTACGTACTGCGGCATGTTCGCCACTAAGACTTCGTGAGTCACGAATCGTGACAGGTTTAAATACGTGGATTACCATAATCCAACATTATAAATAAGTTTTTACACTTACAAATACTTCAAACTATTTTGCGGCGGCACAAAAACCGTTCACCTTATATTATTCACTATTGGAAATTTTTGACCTACGTGAGGCACGGGTTAACAACATCTGATCAGTCTAAAATTTGACAGGGCTTTATATATGATCAAAAGAAAAAAATAAGGGGGTGGGACAATTGAAATTTAGAATTTAAAAAATAAGGACCACCCTAATGTATACTTGTGACAATTATAATTAGAACCAATAAAATGCCAGTATTCCATGGTTACGCATTTTATCACAGCGACAATATTTTTTATCACCTTGTTTACACGTTGCTAAGGATTTTGACACTTTTCTTGATTTGACATTTGTTGACATTACTGTATTTGTTAAATGATTAAAATAATGAATTATAAACTCTAAAAGATCGATGGGTTGGTGTAAACGATAATAAAATTAAGGTAAGTTTGAATAAATTAAAGTCTTCTTATATTTTAAAGCACATTTTAATTTCAAATGTCAAACTGACAATTCGTTAAATCCAAAAATTCATTATATTTTCTCACTAAATATAACTCGTGGTATGATTAATTATCATCCTGCGGACTCGTGAAATCTGCAGCTCGGTTTCAATTCGAAAATATCATCGATGATAATCATATGATTATCATCGATGATATTTTGGTATATACCACTTGTTATATTATGGGTGAAAGTATTTGAGATGACATCTCTGAAACATTTATTTTAATTACTTATTATCATATACTTAAGTATATGTTATTATAAGTAAGTGGCGCCATCTCAAGTTAACGGACCTTGTGTCAATTTTATACCTACCGAAACTACCTATGTTAAATAAATTTAATGCTAGCATGTATGATACTCGTAACGGAAATGAATTTGGAAATGTTCTGAAAACATTGTTTTCTAACATTCAAAATTAGTTCCATAACCCTGGTTAAAATGTCACATAGAGATCCTGTTCAAACCGATAGATTTTTGTATAGGATTGTATGGTGTTTCTATAGGGTGTATCGGTACATCCTCCAAAAGGTCCGTCAGATCATTTTCTAGAAAATTCCGG